GCTGAAAGAGGGAGCTCCACCAGGGAATGACAGCCTGCATAGCCTAGAAAAGAACCAGCCCAGCGGAAGGCCTGAAAGCAGTTCTATCCATAGCTACAGGACAAGGACAGTGTGAGTACCTCTACACCCTCAGGGCCTGTATAGTTGAAGTCTGCTAGATTCAAGTTCTTGGCAAGTATTTAGGGAACAGTCTAATGCTTACCCAAGCCCTTGTCCTGGTTTCAGATTCCTAATAGGGGATTACTTTCCTAAAGACTGTTATGGTTCCAGCTGGAACACAATCAAATATCTGTTATTTTGCAGTGTGCTAGAGAAGGAAACTGTCTTCATTTTGTTATTCTTTACTCAGCTTGGGCATTTCATAACCCCTTTACCCTATCCAAATTGAATTCCCTAATAAATCCTAAAAAACAAGCCTATGGGCTGTTTCTGGTGTCTGGAAAATGCATGTTGCCCGGCTGTGCAGGAAATAAGGGAGACCCAAAACCAGTGGCTCTCAAGGGGGTTGTGCTACACACTTATGGAAATAAAGAAGAGACTCAATGTTATATCTATATTCACTCTAGTGACTGCTGCAAGGCATTTCTCAGTCAGTTTCCTGATCGTGACAATAGTAGTCTGGCTAGAATATGTGTTTTAATAAATACATTTGTTGTCTCTATCAAAGACCAGTGTGACAGGGTGACAATGCAGCTGAGCAAATGAGAAAAAAGGGACAGTGTTTCCACACAATAACAAGAAGTGCCTGAGCAAGGATCTTTATGGCAGCAATACCAGCTATTTTTTGTGAAGGTTGCAGATTTAAAAATATTGAAAATGACTTTTAAAATTATAAAGCTATGATAAAGCTTATATTAGAGAATTTAGTCATTGGGTTTATGTCTGCTTTGACAAAATACTTTATATTTTGTATCAGTTACAAAAAAAATAACCCAAAAGTGAGCAGCTACTGCTGAGCTGTCTTATTAATTCAATTACTGGGGAACACCAGGTGCTACATATTTATTCCTAAAATGAAGATATTATATTTATTAAAGTAGAACTACAGGCATAACATTTCATTTTGGATAGAGCAAGGGAGCGTTATAATCCCAGTTAGATATTTTTTGCCATCTTTGTCTTATTTTGGAGATTTCCCTTCACTTCCTGTCCCATAGCAAAACACCTGGTGCGGTAAAACATGGCGTCACCCCCCACCCACACACACAACCATTTTTTTCCCATATAACACAGACATTGAGCAGGCTAGTGCATCAGGCTCTCTACTGTCTAGCCTGCCACAGTGCCCTGCAGGGAGCTGGGCAGGCTAGTTTTGGGCCAACAGTGCACAGTCACAGTGCGCACCCCAAACCAGCCCTTGTAAATGATGCAGTCGGTGCCAATGTACCGATCCATGCACTGTCACGGATAGTGGTGACATCATTGCGGCTGGATACAGGGCCATTTTTAATATTTACTGGATCCTGGGCAAACATTTTCTTGGACCTCCCCCCATGCAATTTTTCTCTCCATCCCAACATCCCAAAAACAAACACACACATATACTTATCCCAAAAAACGTTGAAAATGTAAACATAAAGAACTGGACAACACTCACAGATTGGTCCAGGCTCACTGGTTGCTAGAGGTTACTGCACATCTTTACCGCTCACTGATTGTTTGCTAGAGGTTACTACACATCATTACCACTCACCCACTGGTTGCTAGAGGTTACTGCACATCATTACCACTCACCCATTGGTTGCTAGAGGTTACTGCACATCATTACCACTCACCCATTGGTTGCTAGAGGTTACTGCACATCATTACCACTCACTCACTGGTTGCTAAAGGTTACTGAACATCATTAATGCTCAACCACTGGTTGCTAGAGGTTACTACACATTATTACCATTCACCCATTGGTTGCTAGAGGTTACTGCACATCATTACTGCTCACCTATTGGTTGCTAGAGGTTACTGCACATAATTAATGCTTACCCATTGGTTGCTAGAGGTTACAGCACATCATTACCACTCACACATTGGTTGCTAAAGGTTACTGCACATCATTACTACTCACCCATTGGTTGCTAGAGGTTACTGCACATCATTAATGCTCACTCATTGGTTGCTAGAGGTTACTGCACATCATTAATGCACACCCACTGGTTGCTAGAGGTTACTGCATATTATTCCTGCTCACTGATTGCCTGCAAGTCAGTGTCCCCCTGTGCATGATGCTCAGTCCTGCCACTGCATCACTAATCTCCCCCTCTTTTGACAGAAGAAGGGTGAAGGAGAAGAAACCACACACAGTCTGCTCTGTGTGTTTTTGATTTCTGTGCTGCTGGCCAGAGAAGGGGGGGGGCAAGGGGATAACAGAAAGCCTGGCACTGCTTCACTCCCTGCCACAGTTGCTCTGGTCTTGACAGAGGGAGAGGCAGAACGAGCGGGCTCTAGAACATGCAGCCCACAGCTGTGCCTCTCCCATGTCACAGTGGGGACACGACAGAGCACAGCGGGGGGATTGGCTGCACCAACTATACTGTGAAAAATATTAGCGGGGCTTAATGGTGTCACCCTGCTGCCAGGTGTCACCTGGATGCGGTCTGCACCCCCAGCACCTCCATAGTGACTCCACTGCCCCATTGGAAGATTTCCCCTCTATTACTTTTCAGGGGACAACTCAACATGTATGATTTTTTTTTGCTTTCACTTTCAATGATAATGGCAAACAGGACAAATAGAGAGGGAGAATCTCCTTAACCGAGGCACAGACAGCAATAAAAACTGATGGGTTATAATTGCTCTCCACTCTATCCAAAAGTAAAAAAAAAAAAAAAGTGACAGCACAAAAAAGACCAATTGGTCCATTGATTGATTTGTATTTTTTCTTTATTGTTTTTGTTTGTTTTTTTTTGTCTGAGTATAGATCTATGTTTGTCCCATAGATGTTTTAAATCACTTACTGCTGACTGACTCACTACCTCTGCTTTTGAACTTTCCTCCAGTTAGTTTGAAGTTATGTCCCCGTGTTCTTGATCTTGGTTTCATATTGAAAACACTGCACTTTTGAACCTTATTCACCCCCTTGATGTATTTAAAGGATTCAGTTATGCCTCCCCTTTCCTTTCTTTCCTCCAGACTGTACTGTGAAAAAAGTTTTGCCTTTACTTATACCTTAAATACTAAAATGTCACATAAAAGATCAGTTAAAATGGAACTTTACCCATAACAACTTGATAAAAAAATAATGTTCTTTAGCATGTAACATATATTCCACATTAATAATTATGCTACCAAAATGAGGGTGTGCTGTAAATTGCCTCCAGCATTGTTCCTATTTCTTCTTGCTGGGGGTTGCCATTTTGCTGAAGCTCAAAGCCCCTGAGCAGCAATAAATCTTTAGACTGTCAGTAGATCTGCCTCTAGTGGCTCTGATTTTTGGCACAGTGCCTAAAAATAAAGAGCAACTGGGCATGTGCAGAACAAGGTGAGACAGTGTAATAATGGATAGGCACTTATTTTTAATGTTTTACATAGCTATGCCTGCAAAGGGGGCCAGCCTGAAGTGGTCTATCAGAACTTACATTTCTGACAAAAGTTCCACTTTAACACACTTTAATATCCTAAAAATGTTTACAAATATTGACCAAACACTATTATGGACACTCTATGGACTGACTCTCCTGCATAAAGCTGGATACATGCCAAAGACTACTCAGTTTAATAATGCAGACAAGTCTACCTACCACAATGTTCCTTGGGTTAGCAAAACTCACATCCTCCAAGTAAACGCACAAGCACTCTATGAATTCAGTCATTCTTCAGCATACACTTATTACCAGCGGTGTTCATACAGTGCCACTAAATCTAAATAGAGTGACCATTATATCAGCTTCCGGAGCCAGAGGCTTTCCAGCAAAACATGAGGTCACATTTGTGGTGATGCAGAAAGCTGAACTAGTTGCCTTTGCAAAGACATTTTGTACTTGAAAACCACTTTAATAAATGGTAAATTTACAACAAAACCTGTATATACCAAAATGGATATGTTAAACTGAGAAGTAAAAACTATGCTGAACTGTGAACAAATGAATATTTTCCGCCTTAGATGAGTGAGAATGATAAAGTGCTTGGGAAACGTACTGTATTTCCTTACTATTAAGAAAAACGTATGAAGTATTTAAGGAAATGTCAGAAAGAATATTTTAAATACTGTATGTACAATGAGCTCAAGATTTTAATTTACAGAAATGGAAAATATCCTCTGGTATGATTATCATAGGAACAGAATAATGGGTTTCTAGCATGGCCAGTACAGCCTTGACTGTACCTGATTGACTTTAGGAAGGGACACTTTGCAGTTCAACACTGGTGACATATTTACCAGATATATTTTCTACCAAATATTGATTTATTGAATTAATTTATTTCATGGGAAAGGATCTCAGGCACTCACATTTTATTACATTCAATAAAGAAAGCTATCATAATCTATTTTGTCTGTGGGTTTAAATGTAAAATAATGTTTATTTGAATAATTAGGAGGACTTGTGACCAATAATTCGTTTATAGTGCCTAGATCTTGGTCTCGGACTGGTAATTTCAGAAACCAAAACACTAAATATGCTAATGTAGGATTACGTTATGAAGGACCATGTTAAGGGTGGGTTTATGTTAGTATTAGATTCAGGGGTACATTGTGTGTGTTTAAAGTGTTAAAGGGTAACTCCGCTTTAATGAAAAAAATTTATTAAATATAGAAATAACATAGCATAAACAATTGTGGATAGGGGCTGTTCTGTGCAAAAGCATTGCACAGAGCAGGTAAGTATAACCTGTTTGGTATTTTAATCGAAAAGAGAAGCTTTAATGTTACTTTAATTAGACTTACATGGATTATTTAAAATATTTATTTTTAAATATTTCAAAAGTTATTCTATTATATTTCATACAATATAAAATATGCTGATACAAAATAATTCCCTTGTAGCTTTGTCAAAAGGTTGCCTTACCATAGCAATAACTGCAGCTCCAGCACCAGCCAAGGCAACAATAAAGAGATGGAATGTCATGTTCAGCTGTAAAAAAAAAAAAAAAATAGTAATAAAGCATACAATGCAATATACATAGAGGAAGAAAAAACTTCAATAGTGTGTCTACAACTAAACTACAGCACATGAATACAGGTTTTCTACATGTCCTCTTAAACCAGGACTTACTGTAAAGCAGCGCTCCATCCAAAAGGGGAAGTTCCGCTTTAAGTACTGGTTCCCTGCTCTCCTTGAGAAATTTACACTTTTTTGACACTTTTACTGCGATTTCCTAGGATATCAGAAGCGGAAGTTGTCCCCCCCTCTTTCCTCCCCACAGTCTTCTGGGGCATGTGACAGGTCCCAGAAGACTATGAGACCATTCACAAGGCTCAGAGCAACTCACACACGTGCAGTGAGCATTGGACTGTGAAGCCGCAAGCTGTCACAGCCAGGTGCCCAAACTTAAGATGCTGGCACCGGTGTACCCAGCTAGTACATCGCTGGATCCTGGGACAGGTGACTGGCTGTTTTTCAAATGTCAGCTGCTACAGTTTTTGTAGCTGCTGACTTTTATTTATTTATTATTTTTTTTTGATTGGAGCTCTTCCACATACCATCCTCATGGTTCCTACTTCTCTTTCATAAAGCCTATTCCCTATCACTTACCTTTTACATCCTTCCTTTCTCAGTCATACACCTTCCTCTTTTATACTCCTTGCTCCCTGTTTTTAACATCTCTCTTCCATACTGTGTTTTCCCTGCCTCTCTTTCTCATGATCGATGCCAATCTACTGCTTTAATATGTCTTGATCAATGTCTCTTGCCTTCTTATTCCTTATAAAAATGTACCTGTATGCTTTTTGCTAGCTCCATGCTACCTCTCTCATTTTTTTTTTTTTCTCCTAACTAGACCCTCCTCTCTCTCCCCTATTTTTTATTTCTTGCAGTTCTCTTGTGGTTACATCACATGCGTATGTAGACCTGAAACCAAAAATTTATCACCAGGTGACACTGCCCACTTATGATGTCACTGACCAAATCAAGGGATGTCTATATATGGTCAATTACATCACCGGGTGACTCCTTCCCCCTTGTTTTCCTCAGTAGCGGAAAGAAAGCAGAGCTGCCATTTGGTGCCATCGAGCAACGGGATTGATCATGTCAATGTATTTTGTCAGCACAGGGTCACTTGAATGTAAAAGATGCCTGCAAAAATAAGATTGCACATACACACCTTCCTAACAGCTTGCTTCTCTTCAAGTATTCAACCAGCCAGATGGGTAGAATACCCGTTTCCCCAGCAGGTGAGCAGAGGAGCAGTAGCTTTTCAAGACACAGGCCACTGGAAAGGTTAATGTAGGCAGTCTTCTTTTCAGAGGCATGTTTTGCATTCAAGGAACCCTTTGCTAACAGCATAAGGACTGCTATAATACCCTACAACCTGTCAGCCTTAGAAAGAGTCCATAGTTTCCAATTTGTCCCATAAAGTTAAAAGCGTAGCAATGATGTACGCTTACGTACAGTGCTACATAAAACGGAAAACGGAGCCTGCATCAATTTCCATATTTTTCAATGCTGTACACAGGAGCAAACATTTTTTACATTAACCCCAAAGATATAATTTAAATTACACTAACTGGATTTACATACTGTATATACAAAATAAACTAAACAAGTACAGAAAAGGTCTGTTGATCCTGATAGAAATGTAGAGTCATTGTAACTCCCTGTGAATTGAACTAAAAACACAAAACAAGCCGGCTCTGTATGTCCATAAAACATACAGAGTGTGGCTAGGCTCTGCCTCCCATGCCCTCCTCACTGGCTATGATTGACAGCAGCAGAAGCCAATGGCCAGACCAGGGAGAGCTGACACTCTTGTGCACAGGTTCAAGTAAGTATTGGGGGGGCTGAGGGGGGAGCTGAAAACTGAAGGGTTTTTTACCTTTATGCATTCAAAACCTTAGGCAAGACAGGTAAAAGAGAGGATGACCTGTTTGTAGTCCTGTCCTAGGAAGACAATGCTGCTCTCCCATACATACAGTAAAGTGAGTGGGTGTTGGCACTTTAGGACAGGAAATGTGCTAAGCAGGCTATACACTGTTTGAATTTAGCCCGGTTCATGATGAACCGGATAAAATTCGCTAAGTGGTTGGCCCTATCTGCTCCCCCCCCCCCCCCCCCCCAATGTCTCTCTATTTAAAAATCAAAGGATCATCAAAATACAGTAGCCGGAGTTGGAGATTTCACCATCGACTCTGTATAGCAGGGATGGAGGAATCCGTTGCTGAACGGAAAAAAAAATTACTGTATGGGCAACTTTACTGATAGGATCATTACATTACAATAAAAGAAAAAAAAAAAGAAAAATGAAAACTAAACCAGCTACCACATTTGGTAAGGACTGGTAAGCTGCAATATTTTTGTTGGTTTAAATATGCTTTAAACTTCCAGACAAAAATCTTACATAAAATTCTAAATGTTACCTTTTTACTAACTTCTAAAGGGTAACTCCACTTTTGTGGGCAATGAATATATCAAATTAAAAAAAAATAATATAGTGTATATAATTGCGACTCATATTTTAAACTTAATGTTATCATCAAAATGACCTTACCTTTTCAATCCGCAGCACTGAGCGGCTTCTGTACACAGTAGGTGTACGGAACACCTCTATAAATGTACTTTCCTGCTTGTGTGATTGGCTCACTGATTTGCCCAGAAATCTGCACTTAGATACAAGTCAGATTATAGGCATGCTCTCTTACAGAAACATATTTTTGGTGAGAAGCTCCTAAAAGGTATATCACTTCTAAAGTGATTCAAGACCTTGCAGCTTTCCTCACTGGAATATTGCAAGTGCACCAGCTAAAAAATCATGAAAAAGTCGCTCATATTCAGAATCAGTATCCGAAAGACATAAAAGAACAAACAGCTTTTTCTTTAGAGCAGAAACAGGTACGGATCTGCAACAAAGTTTGTTTAAATCCCTGCAATATACATGGATTACCTTTCTTTTTTTTTTTTTCATAACAAAAGTGGAGTTACTCTGCAAGCCTATAGAATATGTATATAATATATAGTAATACTTGCAATGCTCCAGATGATAGGCTTCATATTTATGTATCTTTAATATTATGTAACAGAATGAATCCTGACCTGTTCCTAACTTGTTTAAGACAGCATTTGAATACCTTATTAAATTATACTTGCTATTTTCATTCAGCAGGTCTGCCTTAATCAGTAAAAAGTAAGGTGTTAGAGTCATGTGGAAAAGAATATACAAACTCACATCAGTAGATTCACACATCCTCAGGAAGGTTTCAGATGGGGTACACAGTTTCTTTTCCTCACCGATTGGTACAATGCCTAGAATACAGAAGCAAACAGAATCAGTGCAATTCCAGCATGTTGCAAGAGGGATTCTTTATCCTGACATCTTTTAGGTCTGGCAGAATGTGAATAGCTAATAGTCATATGGAAGTTAAGTAAAAGCTGTTCTATTTTAACATATCTACAAGCATTCACAATATAACTTTAAAAGTTGTAAAGTATTTCAGGTTCCAAACATCTATTATTGTACCTTTGAGATCCATGTCAGTGGCATTGATCTCCTCTAGACAATTCATAGCTGTCCTGTATGTGTGGGCTCTCTGCTCCTCGGCACATCTTCCAGAGAGATGTCTCTGATAAGACGTGTGTACTTAATTCATTTGAATTCAGATCAACAAATGCAGACTTAGGTGAAGGGGTATACAATAAGTGAAGTTTTATAAATGCACAGTTTATTAGACACTACCTATGCAGTATAATGTTTGTGGATTTATATCACAATATAATCTTCAGTGAATGATGTAGTCCTTAGGTCAGGAAATCATAATGTATGGTACACACTTCTTAAAGAATATGATACATAGCCAAGCACAAGACCTTTTATTGTGTCCCTCTGTGATATAATGTGGCACTGTGTGCTTCCCTACAAAAATATATAGCTTTTACAAGTACCCGTAATCATCTGTCGGTAATAAAAGCCATCTATATTTGAAATGAACAAAAGCAGTTATAATAATGTTCACAGGAACTTCTGACCTGGAAACTAAATCACAGAAGACTACTGGAGTTACACATTAGAGGAAAAAAATATACATTTGTGCCCTTATCCAGGGACAGTGGCTCAGAGCACGAAGGCAGACAGAAAAGCCAGTCTGACCTGAAATATTGAACATCAAAGATACATAGGCCTTTCTGTACAATAGTCTTTTTCATTCAGTAATGTAGATCATTTTTTGCTGAAAGAAATCGTTCTTTGATTTACAAAATGACAAGATCTTGAATTAAAAGACAGCCATTTTACACATTACAGTATATATCTATAAATTAAGGGAATTATAAAAACAAGCACAGCCTTTTTCTTTTTTTAGGGACATTTTGATGATACATACAGTTGTGCTCAAATGTTTGCATACCCTGGCAGAAATTGTGAAATTGTGGCATTGATATTGAAAATATGACTGATCATGCCAAAAATGATCTTTTATTGAAGGATGATGATCATATGAAGCCATTTATTATCAAATAGTTGTTTGGCTCCTTTTTAAATCAAAATGATAACAGAAATCACCCAAATGACCCTGAACAAAAGTTTACATACCCTGGAATGTTTGGGCTTGGTACAGACACACACGGTGACACACACGGGTTAAAATGCCAATTAAAGGTTAATGTTCCACATCTGTGGCTTTTTGAATTGCAATTTGTGTCAGTGTATAAATAGTCAATGAGTTTGTTAGCTCTTACGTGGAAGCACTGACTAGGCTAGATACTGAGCTATGGGGATCAGAAAAGAACTGGCAAAAGTCCAGCGTAACAAGGTAATGGAACTTTATAAAGATGGAAAAGGACATAAAAAGATGTCTAAAGCCTTGAATATGCCAATCAGTACTGTTAAATCACCTATTAAGAAGTGGAAAGTTTGGGGATCTCTTGATACCAAGCTAAGGTCAAGTAGACCAAGAAAGATTGCAGCCATAACTGACAGAAGAATTGTCTGGAATTCAAACAAAAACCCACAGGCAACCTCAAAAGAAATACATCCATCTTGTAGCAGACGATCGGTGAGGAAGAGAGGCGTCCGGAGCTCTCGGCTTAGCGGGAATTACGTTGTTACGCTCGGATATCGATTGAGGGTTCCAGATTCACAGCAGCCAATTCCTAGGGTACCTTGCAACCAGGAGAGGGAAACTTATCCTATCTTAACACACTGGGCAAGAAGGCTCTCTGGACCTAGAAGCATATCACTGCACCCAAGGCTGACGTTTTACCTGAGAGGGATGACCTATACGTTTGGCTGATCCATATGCCTGGCCGACTATCTGGATAAATAATTGCATACATGCGCATTTTAATGCGCGGTCGGTGAGTGCGCATTTTATCTATATGGTTCCAGTCACTTATCTAATGCTGAGGAAGTCTTCACAGCACTTTCGCTTGCAACCACTTTACATTGTATAAGGAACTCTATGAACTTTTATTTACTTATATCTCTCTATTTGTATATCAGTATTACAGTGCTGCACTATATTATTTATTATTCATGTTATGAGGTTTAGTGATTCCTTGGAGTGTTTCTAGCAGCTGATTTATGAGCGCTCGCTTTACCCATCCCATATTCAAAAGGAATACAGGCTGCTCAGGAAAAAGATGGTGTGGTTGTTTTTAAGGAGTACAATATGGTGATACTTGAACAAAAATGAGCTGTTTGGTCGAGGTGCCAGAAAGAATCTTTTACTGCACCAATGCCACAAATGCCAGTTACAATATGCCTGACAACACCTTGACATGTCTAACCAGGCCTTTTTTTGTGTCATTGATGCAGTAAAGGCTTCTTTCTGGCACCTCCACCATGCAGCTCATTTTTGTTTAAGTGTGCTCCTTCAAAACAACCACAATGTATTTTTCCAGAGGAGCCTGTATTTTTCTTGTGGTTACCTATGAGTTTCCCTTTGTATCCTGAACAATTCTTTTGGCAGTTGTGGCTGCAATCTTTCTTGGTCTACCTGTACTTGGCCTGGTATCAAGAGATCTATGAACTTTCCACTTCTCAATAGGTCATTTAACAGTGCTGATTGGCATATTTAAGGCTTTGGACATCTTTTTATATCCATTTCTATCTTTATAAAGTTCCATTACCTTGTTACGCATGACTTTTGGCAGTTCTTTTCTGGTTCCCATGGCTCATTATCTAGCCTAGTCAGTGCTTCTAATTAAGAGCTAACAAACTCATTGACTATACACTGACACTAATTGCAATTTAAAAGCCACAGATGTGAGATAATAACCTCTAAATGGCATTTTAACCCGTGTAGGTCACCTTGTGTGTCTATACCAAGGCCAAACATTCCAGGGTATGTAAACTTTTGATCATGGCCATTTGGGTGATTTCTGTTATCATTATGATTTAAAAGGAGCCAAACAACTATTTGATAATAAATGGCTTCATATGATCATCATCCTTCAATAAAAGAGCATTTTTTGACATGATCAGTCATATTTTCAATATCAATGCCAACATTTCACAATTTCTGCCAGGGTGTGCAAACTTTTGAACAAAACTGTATTTGGCCAGACATATGAATAGTAGCACACATAATCTTGGTCACTGCATTGAGCCCAAAATGCTTCTATGGCTTCAAAGTGTATGTAAACCCGAACAATATTCTTCTTTTATTTTCTCCTTTTTTGGTCTGTTAACCATACCATTTAAGGTGTTCTACTATATCTGTTAAAAAATACGAAAAATACATGATTTTGATTTAACTTCGAGTTCTCTCTACCTATCAACAGGATGGGTTATGGATATACGGAAGGGAAAGAGTTAGGGGAGGTTTGTGTTCTTTGTAGTTCATTGGAAATTAGGTAGGGTGGGTTGACACCAAGTGCTTAGAAATTCTGAGATAAAAATACACTTGTGTTGCCATGTCAAGGAGGAAGGTACATCAGCTATTGTTTAACAGTACTACTGGTGTATTTAAAGGGATAAAACAGGGAGAGGTTTGCATTGATTCCAGAAATGCACACTTACACAACACAACTAGAGTGATGCATTCCTTGTGATATGAAATAGTGCAAATAAACATAGATTATCATAGTGTGCTAGTAAGCATGGCATTCTAGCACATTATGAAAGACTTACCTTGAAAGAAGCAATTATTATATGTATTATTTTATTAATATAAACTGCTAAATACCTTTTCTCATCAGCAGTTAGAATAGTTTTGTGTCTTCTATCAGTGTCCAGCTGAGCACTGGTTAAAGCTTGTAGGAGTTGTCATTCTCCTCTCACTGCACTATGAGATTGCATAACCCCTGACCGTCTGTCTGGACAGTGCTGATTGGCTCTGTGCTGATCACATGCACCCTCCCAAGAAAAACAAAAAACTATCTAGCAGTACACACCAAACTGAGCATGTGCAGAGTGCCCCCGAGGACGTGTTCTATCAGGAGATGAAATGGGGAACATGGAAGAAGGGGAGGATCAGAGAAGAGAGGATCAAACATCCTTTTTAACCCCCGTCATTTAACCCCTTAAGTTCCACTGTGAGTATAACAAGCATGCTTTACTGCATATATAGACTGATTGATTTACTGTTGTGGGTTTAGGAACACTTAAACAGACTTCCCGCTAAACTAAATAGATAGAAAACCAATACTTTTCCCAGTTTTCATAGTATGTGCACAGAAGTATATTCATCTTACCATTTTTTCCGCATGATTCATTACATTTCATAACAAAGTGTCCATTATAACTTTCAGCTAGTTCACATAAAAAAATTATAATGATGGTTGCAAGTGCTTTGAATGAAGTGAATGCTCTATAAACAGATCTAAAAAAAAAATCAGATCATGCACGTTTTGACCAGGGACGGACTGACCATTGGGGAACTCGGGCACTGCCCGAGGGCCTGGGGTCAGTAGGGGGCCCCATGAGATGCCCCTGGTACCTTTCATAGGCTTTTTGGGTGTGGTTTGAGTGTGGGTGAGGACACAGGGGCCCCATGATCCACTATTGCCCGAGGGCCCCATGAGCTGTCAGTCCGCCCCTGGTTTTGACTGTCTTTCTAATTGTAAGAAAAATAGTACATACCAAACTGACGAAGGTCCAAACAAAAATTTGCATCACCAACTACAGTGGCATTTCGACAAACAGTCCAAAGATTGAAGTACATGTAAACCGGTAGTGAGGTAAAAGCTGTGACTCCAAGCCAGGCAAGCATGAAGAGGTACGTCAGCATAATAAACTACAAAATAAACCAACACATTTATTTTTATTCAGTTTACAGTGCAGTATCATTTTCCATGCAACCTTTTACTTATCTGCCTGCAATAAATTGAAACTTGATAGCTGGCTGTTGGTTACTGCATGCTGCACAACAGAACTGTTCTCTGCAGTGCAAATACATTTAAACATTATAACATAAAACGTTATTAAATTACATATAAGGGCTCATATTCCTTCAGGTTCTTGCACATGTTTATGTACAAGACTGTAGCTTTTTTCCAAGAATCTGTGCTGTTCTACTTAATCAGTAGACAAGCAACCTACTATAGACAAACTTTGGGAAATGTCTATACATCCACAAGCTCAGAATCAGGTTCTCTCACAGCACCAAATTACTAGCAAGACATTTTATAATGTGAGATGGCCTGGTTCACTATAACAAAGCATGGAAAAAATACAAAGGTTCTGGGGAGGTAGGTTATATCTGTTTGCATTTGAAGGATTCTCATTGGAGAGAAATGACAGACACAGATTTTGTGCTCGACACAATAATATTCAGAAAATGCTAATTTTCAAAATGATCACCATAAAGAAATTGCAATGCATTCCTGTAAATTCACAATTTTTTCTGACAGTATTTTCTGGAAAAAAGTTAATATGTATTCATTGATGCATAACTGTATAAAAAAAATGAATATCGATTTACTTGTAAATTTAGTATCTTGGAGTACAGTACAAGACTACAAGACACAGGCTGGATATTCAAAGACCCTCAGTTATAGGCTGTTATCTTCAGGTGATTAGACACTAGCAAACCCCCCCCCCCCCCATCTCAAGGACATTTATCTATAACCCTACCCCACTCCAAAAGACCTCAAGTAATGCATAGGAACAGGGGAGGTATCCTGTGTCCTGTACTGTATTTCATGATACAGAATTTAGAGGTAAAATCCAAAATTCTTTTTATCTTAACCACTTGCCTACCAAGGGCACTTATACCCCCTTCCTGCCCAGGCCAGTTTTCAGCTTTCAGCGCTGTCACATTTTGAATGACAATTGAGCGGTCATGCAACACTGTACCCGTATGAAATTTATTTTTTTTTTTTTTGAGACAGATAGAGCATTCTTTTGGTGGTATTTAATCACCTATGTGTTTTTTATTTTTGCTAAACAAACCAAAAAACAATGAAATTTAAAAAAAAAATTGTTTTTTCTTAGTTTTTGTTATAAAAGTTTGTAAATAAGTGATTTTCCTCCTTCACTGATGTGCGCTAATGTGGCTGTAGTGATGGGCACTGATAGGCTGCAATGATGGGCACTGATAGGTGGCACTGATGAGGAGGCACTAGTAGGTGGCACTGATGGGCATTGACAGGCATCACTGATGGGCACTGAAAGGCAGCACTCATATATGGCACTGATAGGCAGCACTGATAGGCGGCATTGACTGGCACTGTTAGGTGGCACTGACTGGCACTGTTAGGTGGCACTGACTGGCACTGATAGGCAGCACTGATGGGCACTGATAGGCGGCACTGACTGGCACTGATAGGTAGTACTGATTGGCAGCACTGATAGGAGGAACTGACTGGCATTGATAGGTGGCACTGACTGTCACTGATAGGTGACACTGAAAGGTAGCTCAGATGGACACTGATATGTGGCATTGATGTGCACTGGTAGGCACTGATATGTGACATTGATGAGGCACTGAGGGCACTGGCAGGTGGCATGATGGGCAATGACAGCTGGCATGGGCACTGACAGGTGGCATGCTGGGGCTACACTGATGGGAACACTGATCATCAGTGCCCTGATGATCAGTGTAGATGTCCCCTCCGAGGAATGCCGATTACCAGCTCTCCACTCCTCTCGAGCTGTCAGCGTGACAGCTCGAGAGGAGAGAAATGCCAATAAACGGCATTTCCCTATTTATATGTGATCAGCTGCGATTGGACATAGCTGATCACATGACCAAGCCGACATCTTTGGCTCTTTCTGTTGATCGGTGATCCGCTGGGACACAGTGCACCACCGATCGCCGCGCATGCACGGTTAGAGTGGGAGGACGTCATATGACGTCCTCCCAGAACGAGAGAACCGCCTTGCGCCCATCATTACCTAATATGGCGGGCGGGAGGCAGTTAATCCGAAAGTACAAGACACAGGCTGTGTATTCATAAATCCTGGGACATCCCCAAACAATGAATCAGAAGAGTGGGAAACAACAAGGCAACCAGAACTGTGCCAAAGGGCCCAACAAGAGAGAAAAGGGTAAAAAGACCCATCTTACAGTGCTGCTGAAAGAACCTTGTGGCCAAAACCTGCATCCACAAAGGTCATGATATCCACCTATTAGAACTTAGGGGATGTGTGAACTGAAGACCAGGTTGCAGTCTTACAAAGCTGAGCAACAGAAGGCAACAGAAGGCAGAAAGCCCAGGACCCACCCACTGATGTGATGCAGCAAGCATGTAAAGGTACTGGAGGTACCATATCTTTTAGAGTTTTAAGCTCTAATAATGAGTTGTCTTATCCACCTGGCATTATTGGACCGAGAAGCAGGGAGTCTTTTTGGAGACACCATTAGCAGAACACAAAGAGAGGCCACCACTATGACTAAGTCCCATGGGCATAGTGAAAAGTATACCTTATGGTGCCGCTCCAAGCTATGGATGGCAGGAAAAGGATCACTCCACCAGCAAGTGAGAAGAGGGGAGCATGAGTCCAAGCGACTGCAGTGTCAGCCAATACAAGTGAAGGGATGGATGCTGCTCAACCGACACCAGGAGTACAATGTTGAGGAATGGCTTCAGCCACTGTACTGGTCATGCCCTCTGACACGTTTCACCCCGCCCACTGGGGCTTGGTCTATCAAAAAAAGGGCTGAATTCTGAACATATGAAAAGAAATGAGCGCCATTCTGGAAATATGTGTCATGACTTGTTCAAGGGCATCAGCACAGAAAAGTAAAGCGAAAGGCAGTGTTTGTTAAGTGTTCCACACGATTTCCTTCTAGGTGGATTCTGTTGATTGTTCATTGCCCTAGTCTAATCAGTTGTAGTCTGACAAACAAAAATTGCATCAATAGCTGGTTGCAGGGCTTGACCTGCAAGAGTAAGGAGTTTAAGCCTTTAAAAGCTTCTGAAATGTCCTGTCTGCAGAGTCCCTAAATGAAGGAACATCTTCTATTGACACTTTAAGATGTTTGTTTACAAGTTAATTCTTTTTCCACTGGATATAACCCAGTAATGATTCTCAGAGGGGTGAAAAGCTTTTCATTAGAAACCCACTTGTCATAAATTGTCCATTCTATTTATTCATGAATAAGAAATATCTGTTTTGACCATGTAGGTCTCTTAGTGCCCATAAGGGCTTGGTGATACTGAGGAGAATCAGGTGCAACAATACCAAGGCTTTTGCACACAGCAGAAGCGAACAATTCTACATTGGCAAGCATATTGCTGAAAGCATCAGGTGTATCAAAGGCTTGGGGTGGGAAATCTTCTGTGGTCTCTAATGCTGGATCTGGGTCATCTTCAGTGTTTTCAATGTCTACCTCTTCTATGGGAGGTAGCTCCACTTCTGACTTGAGTAGAGAAGTTGGAGGTATAGAAGAAGTCTGGCCCTTTTGGACTCTGGGCAGTGATGGATTAATTGCTTAGCAGTAAATAGGAATGAGTAAAATATAGAAAATTCTCCATAAGAGAGACGGGATCCATAACTTACAGTACAGTACTTACAGCAAAAGGTCCCACTGCGTGACTAGAATTATCAAGATATGCCCAAGGATAGTGCATCCAAAAACCTACAACCCAAGGTATATTGACATCCAGCCTCCTGTAATTAATATTATGATTATTATTACAATATGGCCAAATGTCCTTTAGGAAGAATGTACAGGTGTTATCGATGTACTGTAACTGTCACTTGGTGTGGTCAGTGCAGGGCATTTCCTCTGCACACGCACTAGATGCCAAATGCAGTAGATCAGAATTCAGAAAGGTGTCCTGGCAAATTAAGAATACTTGTGGCTGAGTTCCTACATGTCCTCAGATTCTCTGTATCACATTATCCACATTTGGTAAAACATTAACACTGTAAGAAGTGCTTATTTTTATTTGCATATTGTATAAATCAATTAACTAGTCTACAGCTTCATTTAGACTTTAAAGTGATACTAAACCTACAAACGTTTTATACTTTAATGCATTCCATGCAAAAAGACAAAAAACATTTTCACTTTCTCCATGCTCTCCCTTCTCTAGTGCTGTGTACAGCTGCATCTCTTCTCCTCTCTCTTCCTCTTCACACAGGACTCAAGCAGCAGCAGGAACCATTGATTCCTGCTGTTGTCAATCAAATGCAGTGAAGAGGAAGTGGGACTAAGTCCCGCTGTGTGTGTCTATGCAGCTCCATAGACACACAGCTCGGGAGTCCAAATATACAAACGAAACCAGTGCTAAAATCTTCATGTAGACTAGGATAACTTTAAATGCCAAACGTTGAGGTGCAGCCCTTGGAAGATCAAGAAATCTTGGTACTGGTAAACAAAAGCAAAACAGGGCGCACTCTCATCGTGCATTACCGTGGTGAAAGACAAATTTATTTAAAAGCATATAGATGCATACTCACAAACCAAAAGGGAATAAAAACAGAGAAGAAAAGTCTAATATCAGTCCAAAGTATCGATAAACCCTTGATGGGGTAAGCTAACACATTTTGGGAGACGCACTCCCTTCTTCAGAGCTAAAATGTAGACCTGCTATTCCAACATTTATAAGCCACAAATGGTTTAAGAGTACTGGACCACACCCCCTCACACATGACAACCCAATCAGGGTTGAGCCAATCAGATCCACCTCCAGCAAAAAATGTCACAGCGAAAAAATGGTAATGCGCATGTGAACATAAATGGACAACCAAGAAGGGGAGGAGCCAAGATCACTGGTGGAAGACCCGAGAAGAGTAGGATTATAAAGTCCTAAAATTATTCCTCTTTAAAAATTATCTGCTAAAATATTACTGTTTAGTGTGATAGATGCAAGTATTCAGAATATTTTAAAATGTTTTATTTAGCATAAATAAATTCCTCTTACAAAGCTAACAGGAACTGCTGTCTTAACTCAGAAAATAGTCACCTCTTCAGTTCTATAAACCTGCACATATGTCCCAAATTGAATGATGTCAAGAAAGAAAGTGAAGAATGTATTTTCAGCTCAAAATATAAAATGGCTAAAAGGGAGAAAGAGCGGAACAGTCCGGGAAGTGAAGAGACCCTATAATGGAGACCGTAACTTAACCTACAGCCAATGGTATATTTACCGCGAGGCAAACAAGGTGTTTGCCTAGGATGGAAATTTTCGGAGGGGGGGTTGCGCCACCCCTGGAACAAGGGACACAAGTGGCAGGGATGGGGACCTGGTGAGGCACTGCCTCAGCTCTGCCATGAGATCTGCACGTTGCTGGAGGGTGCTGAATTATATTAGAGAAATACATTAGTTGAATCCAACTGATGACTTTTATATCTCAGAAAAAGAGATGGATGGATCAATCTGATTAGCTACAACAGGAAGGTTTGAGAGACTAGTTCAAGCCTGTGCACACCCCCTATAGGTGCCTGTATTTTCTGTCTGCCTGTTGAATAATAGTGTAATTGTCTTATTTGAAATAGTGCTTAAATCTATATCTACATTAATTTGCATAATGGGTGCAGAAAAGCATGGAGTAGATCAGCTTTAAACTGGTGTATCATAGGGTGAAGCCATTTTTGGGTTCCCACACTGAAGTATTTAACTGACCATGATAAATATGCTCTGTGGTATTAAAATAACAGGTTGCCTACATGTTGTGAGCCCTCTTGTTATGGGGATGCATGTCTGTATGCCCAGGGTGCCATTCTTCCTGTCTGTAAAACCGATCTGTGTGCCTTGCTGACCATTGATTCATTATTATAGCTTTTTATGCCAGATTAGTTTTTTATTTTTTGTGGTGTAGATTTCTGCATGTGGCCTTAGCTTATTATTGGCTGCTACATGCTGACAGATTTGACAAAGGCCCTATTCTGATTACTGCCCTGAGCCCAACATTGTCTAAAACTAGCATTAATTCTAGTTTGTATAACAGAGCCCCTATTTTTTCATACAATACATAATCCAATTGGAATCTAGAAGGAACCTCTCTTTATTTCCTGTACTCCATCTGTGTTCCTGCTAATTAGAATCTGCTGCCTATCCACTGACAATGTTTGGCACCAATTACTAAGGCATTAATGAAAACCCTTCACACTTTATTCATGCAGAACATTTCACTCTAGTTGACTCTTATGAGCTTTCTCACTCTACATGAGTAAAATATAAACCGCAGAATAAAGTGAAAATAAAACCTTTAAGCTGGAATACAACAACATTAATCAGTGGCAGATTTATAATTGGGTAGATAATACACATGCCTACAGGACAAAGAATAGTCTGACATACAAGACTCAGACACATCAATGCATCATCAGCTATTGATGGCTGAATTGGTTTGAGAAAGCAGCCCCAGCTGATAAAGCTTATTCTTAATTATTACAGAATAAAAATAGATCTCATACATACAGTGCAATAGACATACTTTGCAGTTGTCTATGTCTCAATAAACTCAGTTATTGCCCAAATGTAATATCCCTGTTTATTTCAGAATGTTTTTTTTTTCATTACAGTAATCCAATGGTTCAACCAATGAGAAATCGGAGCTGATATGTCTAATCATAGTGAGCTGCTGATGTATCATTTAAAGCTGTAAGCTATTTCATGTCATTCGTTGTTTTTCACATGTACAGAAAAACAAGTCTAAGGATGAAGAAACCCTATTAGTGGAACACAAATGTATGTTAAAGAGATTATTTAAAGGGTTTCAACAATATTTCATCAATATTTCAACAACAAAAACAAGTAGCTTCCCGTGCCCAATATCCAGGATCGGTGCAGCGATTTCAGGAAAGCAGTTCAACAGAAGAACGCTTCTGCAATTTTCTTTTTTGTTTTCAGTCCCTCTTATTTAACTCTGTCAGACAAAGTGACTTATTGTCATTTCAGAGTTGGAAAGCAATATTTTATACAGGTTTTCTTACTTTCTGAACTGGATAGCCTTTTGTCTTTTTTCAGCCAGACTAACTATGTAACTATGTAACGTTTCCACTGGTATGGCCAACTATGGGCCTTCCTGCTCTGGTAACCTTTAGATCAGCTGTTTTACAGTATTATGAACCACAACATTGTGTTTATGAAGACTTGACATACTGTATGTGTAGTATTTATGTGTAGGGTAGTGTTTTTAGCCATAACATTTCATTTAGCTGTTATGTTTCGTGAACAGTAATAGGTCGTGCGACCCACTTTTAACTTTCTCACAAACAACTACTACTTAGGGCTCATGAACACTGGGCCATTTTTTTCTGCCTGTAAACACACTTTAATGTTAGACTATGGGGTTGATTTACTAAAGGTAAATATACTGTGCACTGCAAGTACAGCTGCTTTAGATATGAGGGGAAGCTCTGAAATGAGGCAAATCTCTGCTGATTTCTTTCATCCGATCCTGTGCATGCAAAAATGCCATTTTTTAAATTTTCCTTGCATGTTTCCCTCAGATCTAGAGCAACTGCACTTTCACTGCACCTGCAGTGCACTTCCAAGTTCACTTGGAGTGTACAGCCTATTTACCTTTAGTAAATAAACCCCTATGTTTCCATGCACACATAGGTGTTTACGGGTATATTAGAAGAGGAACATTTACAATAAAAACATCACCAGTGTTTAGGAGAGTTGCTTTTGGGCAGAAAAAAAAACACTGAATGCACCTAAACTTGCCCTAAATGCATCTAAATACACCTAAACGCTAGACACATTTATCACATGAGCATTCATTCCAATGGCCAGAATAAATTATTATTCTGGCCAATGGAATTCCTAAACACTCAAACACTTGACACACCTAAACGCACCTAAACACATGCAATACGTGGCTTCAGGTGCATTATTTGTAAGCTGCTTTTTCCAGGAGTAAAAGGATGGCGGAAGAATTCAAATTCAAGTGTGCAAGGAATTATTTATTGTATTTGTTTTACTTTAACCACTTTCAACTTGTGATCTTATAGAACTAGAACCTCACAGCAGTGCAGATTCCTTTCCTTGAGAATATGTTGTCCCTGGCAGTGTTGGTGTCACACTAACCATTAGGAACCATAGTGATTGGTTCCCGATTATGTGATCACTGTGATGAGAGCCAACCATGATGATTTGATGGGTTTTTGTTTACATAACAAGGCTACTGGCTCAGCTCTTACCTTGCCAAAAGGTACACTGATAACTGCAGACAGAAAACTATAGCTCTTTTTGTGCAATACAGAAGACTTTAAAAAAGGTATTCATCCATTAATTTAAAAAAGTTCTGAAAATAATTAAATGGCTAAGCATAAAATTGATTTATTTAAACAATTGTGGCTTTTTTCAGCTTACAATACAAAAACGTAAGCAAGACATTTATTAAACAGCATACTAAATATAAGCTTTATCAACCACAAAGAAATGTATCTGGATTTCATTGACCTCTGGTCATGAATTGCTTTAGGAGAAATTCTAAGCAACAAGTGAAAAGCAACCGGAGCCATAGCTCACATAGGCCACTTCAAGGGGTCAATAGAAAGGTGGTAGTAGAGTACTGTCTGAGGCCTGTGCTGTGTAATGTCTTTGGTCTGCTTCCTGTATCATTAATCGCATACCAAACATCCAAGCCATGTAGAATCTGACCAGTAGCTGGGAGGAACATCTTAGTACTGACTTCAGCAGTTCTGTAGATGAGAGGCAGCAATCGGTATACAAGCATTACAAATAGCTGTGTTCCAAGATTACTGAAAGGCACAGTAAGGATGTAGGTGTTGACAGAGGAAGCACTAAGCATACCTAGGACCATAAGAGTTGATTACTTTAGACTCTTCCAGCAGTGATTTCTCTTTCTTACATCACTGTTTGGTGGCATAAACTGTAAAAGTAAATATTTACTATCGTTTTTACAGAGAACCATTTAATTCACAGTTTAAGTCATAGCCTTCATTTTTAATATTCTCTAATATATATCTTTAAAACGGAGCTTCACCCAAAAAGTAAAATTCCACTTTAAGGATTCTTCCCCCCATTCCCCGTTAAGGATTGGCACATTTGGGGATCGGGTACTTGATTTTGACAGGTACCAACTCCAATCCGCTCCGACTGCCTAGGCGCCAGGGACAGAAAACGGCCATTGAACCCGGCTGTGGTGTGCACACCGCTGGATCGAGGGACAGGTGAGTGGCTGTTATTTAGAAGTCAGCAGCTACAGCTTTTGTAGCTGCTGACTTTTCTTTTTTTTAACAGGAGACTTTTCTTTTTTTTTAACAGGAGACTGGAGCTCCGCTTTAAGGAATATGCTACAGTATATCATATAAACTATACAAAAAAAGTGGTCTGATATAGTACTCTGATTGAATATCAGACCGTTATCTTGCAGTATATTAAAGTGTGTATGGAAATACGCCCATGATATATGACCAGGGCTATCTTATTGGAAAATGTAGCTCATTATAACCGTAATGTGTAATGGTTAATGCCTCTTGTTTTTTTCATTTTTTTTTTTCTTCTTTTTGTTTTTTGTATGTACTTCATGTAGCAGAGGATCTGCAACTTTGTCATTTTCGTTGATATCTGCTTATTTACTGTGAACTGTTTTTCCTTTTTTTGTGAAAAAATTAAATAACAGATTAAAAACAAAAAAGTTGTCTGAGCGCAGATTTCTCCCTCTGTAAACACTAATTTACACACAAACATTTTTATATTGAACTAGATTTTCTGACGATAAACTTACCCATGCGCTTACACATCGGCCACAAGTTGTGATTTTGAAATCCCCATAGAGATCCTTAATTGCTCCGGTTGTGAAGAATCCTTCCACCATCAGTAAAATTCCATAGACAAAGAATGCAGCTGCTATACCATAGATGACATATTTAAAGATATCAATCCTGAAAAGAAAAAGGAAGAGAACAATAGTTAGCTTATTAAAGTTAGCTCCTATAACTGCCAAAATAAACAGGATGTCCAGGTCACTGAAACCACTCCACCAAACATCTAAAAATAAATAACCAGCAAGGTTCTACTTGCTCTTAAGGTGGAGTGCACCAGGCTTATTATGAGCAGCGGTTTTATAAAACTGTAACAGGTTAGGTACAAAAATAAGGAATCGGGTGCTAAAGTACAAAGCAGTTCAGCAATATTCATCAGCCCAGGATATGAAACACTCAACAATAAACTCTGGTTCCCATATAGAACCAATTATTGCTGAGATGCTATCTACCTTCTAAACCTTCATCGGCAGTATTTCAACAATGCGTACAATTGGAATTTTCACATTAGACAAATTAGGTCATCTAGCATAAGTGGTGTATCTGAAAACCTAATAAGAAAAAAGATAGTGGGAAGCACCACATAAACCAGATTATAAAAACCTAGAGTTACTTAGTATAAAATATTAGAAAAGTGGTGCTCAGTCCTGGTCCTTAGGGATCACTGACAGTTTATGCTTTCTCACTACCACACAGTTGCATTACTTAATACTCTGTGCTAAAAAAAACCCCACAAGGCATTGTTTACACGGACTTCAACTTGTAGTATGTACACCAAGCTTTTATTAAGTATTTGAAAGATTTTAGCAAGCTTTAAGTAGCTTTGTTAAAACCTTTAATCACTTGTTTCACCTCCCTTCAGTCCAGGTCATGTTTCAATTTTCAGCGCTGTCACACTTTGAATGACAATAACTCAAAATGTATTTTGCTACATTTCCTTAGTAAAAATAAAACAAATAGATATATATTATTTATTCTGTGTGAAAGTTACAGAATCTACAAACAATGGTGTATGTATTTGAAAATTGAGCAATTCTGATGTACTGACTGCCTAAGTAAATTTCTTGAGGCCCTAAAATGGCAAAACAGTACAAATATCCCTAAAATCCCATTTTTGGAAAGTGGACAGTTTAAGGTATTTAGTAAGAGGCATGGTGAGTTTTCTGAAATTGTAATTTTTGTCACACTTTTTTGGAAAATGGAGAAATTAAATTTTTTTTCTTTTTTCCACAAGGCCATTTAACAAGTTATTTCTTACACAGCACAGGCATAATTGCAATCAAATCCCATTCTGCTACTCCTCCCTAGTATGTTGATGCCATGTGTGAGACTTTTTCACAGCCTATAAGGGCACAAATTACAAGAAGCACCTTTGGGCTTTCATGAAGCATAAGTTACATTCCTTATTTCCTGACTACCTATCATATTTCTTGACTCCCTGCAGTACTAGGACAGAAGAAAAACCCACAAAATTACCCCATATTTGAATGTAAACACCACAAGGTATATTTTGAAAGGCATAGTGAGTCTTTTGAAATAGTCAATTTTTGACACAAGTTTTTGGAAAATGGGAGTGAAAAAAACCTCATGGTTAAGCTGTGAGTTTACTGTCCCCCCAACCCCTACCCCATTTAGCTGCAGAGACAGTGGCCCAGGGTACACGCATGATGTGGCTATGATGCTTTGCTTCACAGCCATGGCAGGAATTATACCCCTTGTCGGTTTAGGAGGGCATAGCATCTGCCAATTGCAACCCATTCAAGTGAATGGAGGCGCTTGTGCGGGGTTTCAAGGGGTTAAAGCAGGAGATGAGGAGACAATAGTATGCCTCCTCACCACTTGTCAAATGTCCTTTTGAAGAGCAATACAAACATGGATAGCTCTTCAGAAAGCACCACACATGCGAACAGGGTCTTATGGTGACACTGTGACTGGTGTGGACAGGCCCATCAAGAGAGGTCCACAGAGAAGTCCAAAATCCAAGGAGCACCTTCAGGCTTTCCAGGAGCATAATTTATGCATCCAATTTCCTGAATATCTAATAAATTTTTTGGACACTGGAACTGGTGTGGTAAAGATCGGAGACACTATGACTGACTGCAGTATTAGGCCTCATTCACACAGGAAGTTTTATAAACACTCCTCCTCTTGGCAGTAGAGTTTTGGCAGAAAATATGCCTGACGCTTGTCAGGCTTGTCATGCTTGGGTGTTAATTGATTTAATTGGCCAGAACAACAATTTATTCTGGCCATTGAAATGAATTAACACTCAAGCGCTAAACACACCTAATGTTAAACCGCATTTAGGCACGTTTAGACACGATAAGGCATTTTTTCTGTCAAAACGCTGCTGCTTCTGGATGCACTGGCCTTGGGTTTTTTTTCCTGCTGGTAAATGCTACTGCTACTTAAAACTTCTAAAAGTTTATGTGTGCTTGGACATATAGGATAACATGGTGGGCCATTTGGATGCAGTAAAGAAATCGCCTGACGCCCCTAAAAGTGGCTGCAAAAACGCTGTGTGTATGAGGCCTTACATGTGACATGTAAGATTAGAGGGAGGTAAAAGCTCTCTGTTGAGCCACAGCTTTACTGTCCCCCAACTGCTACCCATTTTAGCTGCAGAGGCAGTGGCTGGGGGTATACACATGAAGCAGCTGAGAGGCTTTGTTTCCCAGCCGTGGCAGGTGTTTTATGCCCTGATGCTTTCGTTGGGCACTTCTGTGAGATGAGGGTAATGAAGGAGGTGAGGAGGCAATTCAATGCCTGCCAAATGCTCTTTGAAGAGCATTCCAAACAAGGATAGCTATTCAGAGAGTATCAAACATGTGAACAATGCCTCACGGTGACACCGGGACTGGTGTGGTGCGGATTGGAGACAATGACTGGCTGCACTGGTCTGGTAGCACCTTACTGCTCTGGAAGTGATGAGAGACAATGACTGACACACAGTGATGCCAGAGCAGCCAGCTACTGTACCTGATTACTGCCACAGAAGTACAATGTCACCATAGTAACACTGCACTGCGTTGCGCTGCCTGCATCCCAAAACCTGAGGATAATGTGAAAGACATACACCTGTGATCTCAGTGGTCCTTGTAAAAACCTATATGGGGATATTTCTTTTGTACTACAGATAACAGGTTAACTCCACCTTGAGATCCTTTTGATGTTTGGAGTGCCAAGGGTTCCTGGATAACATCTATATAAAATTTACAGATTGGCTGCATCACCCCAACACCCCAACATGCTGGTATCAGTTTATGCATGCTTTTCTGCCTTTCAGGATTGCCTTATCTTTCCAGCAATACATGAAGTCAGTTGATGAGCCCTTCCTGAGTTTGATCTGAAAGGTTTATCATTACAGTGTTTCTATGGAGGAAATGGATGACTTATTACATCTATGATTTAATGCTCCACAGTCACCTTCATTCACATCAAGACCAATAACATTCTTGATACAGTTCAAGGACCTATTGTATCCTGAGAGAGCACCAATACTCTTTCTATGTAAATAATACATCCTCCTCTCCTTTTCTGTTACATATATATATATATATATATATATATATATATATATATACAGTGGGGATCAAAAGTTTGGGCACCCCAGCTAAAATTTGTATTAATGTGCATAAAGAAGCCAAGGAAAGATGGAAAAATCTCCAAAAGGCAACAAATTACAGATTAGACATTCCTATAATATGTCAACAAAAGTTAGATTTTATTTCCATTATTTACACTTTCAAAATAACAGAAAACAAAAAAATGGCGTCTGCAAAAGTTTGGGCACCCTGCAGAGTTAATATCTTGTACTGCCCCCTTTGGCAGGTATCACAGCTTGTAAACGCTTTTTGTAGCCAGCCAAGAGTCTTTCAATTCTTGTTTGAGGTATTTTTGCCCATTCTTCCTTACAAAAGTCTTCCAGTTCTTTGAGATTTCTGGGCTGTCTGTCACGCACTGCTCTTTTAAGGTCGATCCATAGATTTTCAATTATGTTGAGGTCAGGAGATTGTGAAGGCCATGGCAAAATCTTCAGTTTACGCCTCTTGATGTAATCCCCCGTGGATTTCGAGATGTGTTTAGGATCATTATCCATTTGTAGAAGCCAGCCTCTCTTTAACTTCAGCTTTTTCACAGATGGCATCAAGTTAAATCCAAAATTTGCTGAAATTTTATTGAATCCATTTTTCCTTCTACTCGTGAGATGTTCCCTGTGCCACTGGCTGCAACACAACCCCAAAGCATGATTGATCCAACCCCATGCTTAACAGTTGGACAGAGGTTCTTTTCATTAAATTCTGTGCCCCTTCTTCTCCAAACATACCTTTGCTCATTCCGGCCAAAAAGTTCAATTTTAACCTCATCGGTCCACAGAACTTGTTTCCAAAATGCATCAGGCTTGTCTATATGTTCATTTGCAAAGTTCAAACGATGATTTTTGTGGTGAGGACGTAGAAGAGGTTTTCTTGTGATGACTCTTTCATGAAGACCATATTTGTACAAGTATCTCTTTATAGTGGAATAGTGTACCAAAACTCCAGTGTCTGCCAGATCTTTCTGGAGGGATCGTGCAGTCAAACGTGGGTTTTGAATTGTTTTTCTTACAATCCTGCAAGCTGTTCTGTCTGATATTTTTCTTGGTCTTCCAGATCTTGCTTTAACTTCCACTGTTCCTAATGACTGCCATTTCTTAATTACATTCCGAACAGAGGATATTGACATCTGAAAACGCTTTGCTATCTTCTTATAGCCTTCTCCAGCTTTGTGAGCGTCAACTATATTCAGTTTCAGTTTTCTAGACAACTGCTTAGAAGAACCCATGGTGCTGATTGTTGGGGCAAGGTCAGATGAGTCTGGGCATTTAAAACCTTTGAGATTGACATAACCTGGTCTTCCCAGACGATGATTGAGAACAATCCATGACACTGGCAGGTCTCAGCTTTGCAAAGGGGGCAGTGCATGCTATAAATTCTGCAGGGTGCCCAAACTTTTGCAAACATTTTTTGTTTTCTGTTATTTTGAAAGTGTAAATGATGGAAATAAAATCTAA